CATCTTGAATACTGTCTTCACCATCAGAGAAGTGTAGGGGTGCCATTTTAGTGAGATTAGGATGTGTTATTAAATTAATTTGTTAAAATTAAAATGAATCTCTTAGATCTAATAAAGTTAGGTTGTAAGTATTATGTGATATGGTTATCACTACTATTAACCTTTTAAACACACCTTAAACAAACCTTACAGTTACTAAGCAAACTGATAATTTGTCTATTGTTGAAACAAATATCCAAAGAAGCCAACAAAACCAATTTGCCTTACACGGGGCACCATTAATATGTAGGTGCAATGGGTCGAGTGCTCATTCACAAGTTAACTTTAATTGTTATATTATCCTACTAATATAGCAATAATGTATTACTTGAAGTATTGCACATATACTACATTCAATAGTATTCAATAACAATTAAATATCTGAAGGATTGTTGGAGTTCTTGACAAATTGGGTGGCTTCAATTAATAAAGTAACAACACAGACAAACACAGTTTACAAAAACAATCAAATTTATTAATACAACACTGTCAAGTTAATGACGGTGATTGAACTCATAAACAATGACCATAACAACAAAACAAGGCATAAGTGTGTGCGTGCGTGTGTGTACAAGTGGTCGATCGGCCTTTTGGCTAAGATCAAGTGTAGTATCTGTTCTTATCAGTTTAATATCTGATACGTCCCCTACCCGGGGACCTTATATTAAATTGATTTTTGGATCTGGGAGATGGAATAGGGGCTTGCTCCGTCCACTCCGCGTATCGACCTGGTATTGCAGTACCTCCAGGAACGGTGCACCCCCTAAAATTGTGAAATATAAGTATCCAACTGAGTTGTTTCAGCAATAGTGACGTTCTTAACCTATAACAGGTCATAAAAAATTTCCCTATCCGCTCGTTCTAATGAATATAAGTGTTTTGTCTGTGTAGTTGATGTAGAACACGAGACTGTACTCTGCTTATTAAAAGTGTGGCTCTTTTAATCCTCCATAATAATAATCCTCCTTTTTTCCATTTTAAACATACTACGTTCTCTGTATATATATATGTGTGTGTCTGTGTGTGTGTGTGTGTTTTTTTATTTTATGTTTTGTTATAAATTATGACATTGGTGTGGTAGTGCTTGAATGTGCTTTGTTTGAATGCGTTTCCAGGTGGTAGCACCATCAGTAAGAAGGGTTTCCGAGTGTATGGGTTGGCAGTGTAACCCGTGTACAACTCATACTTACCTGGCAGGGGAGATACCATGATCAAGAAGGTGGTTCACCCAGGGCGAGGCTTAGCCATTGCACTCCGGCTGTGCTGACCCCTGCGAATTCCCCAAATGTGGGAATCTCGACTGCATAATTTCTGGTAGTGGGGGACTGCGTCCGCGCTCTCCCCTGATATACTTGTGGAACATAAATAATACAGAAACTTAACAGTAGTGATGTTCGATACCACCAATTTCCTTTCCGATCCGATACCGAGTAAAATTCGGGCTGGTATCGCAGATACCGATATCGATATTTTATCATTTGTCTTTTAAATAAAAAATGTGTATTTCAAATCATAGCTTCTTTAAGAATCCGAGGCAGAGGTTTTTATTTATTTATTTTAAACTCTGGAGTGTACTGAGGTAGCTGCCTCATTTACTATACAGTCAACACAACAATAGAAAACCTTGAGAACACAATCATATAAAATATGTCAAAACAATGTTTCAAACTCTGAAAACATGTTATTTGTAAAACAAAAATAAATAAAAAAATAAAATAAATAATCTGAGGAGCCATTTGGGACCCGAAAGAGTCGGATTTTTTCAGTGAACCGAGCCAAAAGAACCGGTTCTCTAAAAAAGAGCCTAAATTCTCATCAATAGTGACTGAGTGAGAGCACGGAGTAGAGCCCCTGTGCTTACGCATGACGCACACACCCAGGCGGAAGAAGAAGTAGTCCCACCAACCGAGCGTCACTTAGACAACATCTCAATAATTTGGATACTTTTCACCATGTTTCTGTTTAGGATACACCTCATCTCAGAATGCGTAAGTATCAAAAGTATCGATATTTTGATTTCAGAATCGATTTCAAAGCATAAAGATCCAGAATCGGAAGTATCGATATTTCAGGATCGATCCCCACATCACTAGTGAACTAATCTTTCGCTGTGAACGAATCATTCTTTGTGAACTAATCTTTCGCCTCGTTCTCGCAGATTCGTTTCATTTGTCACGTGAAAGAGCTTGGGTCTGTTTTGCTGTCATTCATCTTCAAATTGTAGCGTGTTTTTATTTCTTAGCTTTTCGCATGGTTTTAATTGCTTATGGCATTTTGTGTACTTTGTAGACTTTGTCAGCGGAAGCAAACCATGTTGCCTTCCGTATTTAGTGTCGGAGAACCGCAGCCTTCTTTACAACGCCCACAATAGGGCTAAAGCGCCACCTGCTGTAAAACGAATGAAATGATTAGTTCAAGATTCGTTCACGACTCGTTCGTTTTACTGTTTGAGAGTCAAAGATTCGAATCAATAAAAAGAGTCGGTCTTCCCATCAGTAACTGAGCCTTGAGGCGTGTTCACATACGCGACTGCGCAGTGGAAGAAGAACTGCGAGGTAGAAGGAACGGCAACAGGAAACACGTGAGGCGTGTATGCGCTCACGGAGGTGTGAATGGGTGTTGTGTACGCGCACCAAGATGCGCTCAGGTACAATGAAACAGTGCTTGTGATGTTATCAAAGTATATGGGGGAAAGGAGAGGCGTACCCCGTGGTCTACTCCAGACAAAGGACTTTGTCTATGTTTTCCTGATCCCAGTACTTTTAACGTTACAAGTTAACACTGAAATACTGACGGTTTACGAGAGTATGACACCGAGTCAGGAGGTTAGAAAAGAAGTGCATGCAACAGCCTAGCTATAAAAGCAGCACAGATTTCAGACAACACAATTCAATGTGCGCACTTAAACTGTCCCTAAGTTTAAATAGCACTTAACAATACTACAGATTAACTTCTTCTTCTTCTTTCGGCTTTGTCCCTTTTTCAGGGGTTGCCACAGCAAATCATTGATTTCCATCTCTCCCTGTTCTCTGTATCTTCTACTCTGACTCCAACTACCTGCATGTCCTCCCTCACTGCATCCATATATCTCCTCTTTGGCCTTCCTCT